CGCCGGTCTCGCTTATTATCATCAGCCACTAGAAGTTTGACAAACGCCTGACCAATTCTTTCCATTGAGCGTCGTTTCAACACCTTTGGGACAGCTCCGGCTTATGAACTGAGCAACGCGCTCGACCTTCTAAAACATCTCAGGTTTGAATCTATCTCATAACCTACAACTTACAGAGTACGACGGACAAACGTTAGCTACTTTAACCCTCGTTTTTGGTATATTTCAGTCTACGGGTCTGTCTTGCCCTGGAACCCACTTACCAACCTCTCCATTCTGAACAGACGCACACTTTATCTGACCCAAAATTTGAAAATTATGACTTCTGATTGGTTCACATCTCCAACCTTAGAATTAGGGGGTATATTAATCAAATCTCACGCACTTCAGATCTCACGACACCTTGATCCAACCTGGCTATTATTTCAACCCTTCAGGACGAATGAGCCACGTGGCTCTCCTTTTTGCCAAGGTCTCCATCTTTAACCTCTCCTGTGCCTCTAGATATTTTGTTCACGGCTGAATCATTCCTTACTCCTTAACCCCTTGTCTCATTTTGGCTAGCTGAACAACCTTTTCGTAGTGCCAGCTGGGTGGTTCGGGGTTATCCCGTTCCAGCAAAGGGGTGCGGCCGCACTGTTTTAGGACGTGGTGGGCTTTCGTTTGGCAAACGTACTCACTATAAAATGCCGCAGATGTATGGTGAATAACGCTGTGGCTTGGCGGTTATGAAAGGTCAGAAATTAAAGTCACTGCCACTTGTTTCTCCGAACCGCCACCTCAATATACAGACATCAAGCACCCCTCTAGCACTGGCAACCAGTTCAAGAACTATCAAAAGTGCAGGAAAGCATTTACATATCCCTTAAACGCAGATACACCCGCCCACATGCGCACATACATAACTCCATATACTAACATTTGGAACCATCCTATCGTTCGACTGTATATTAACAGATTATATTTGTACTCTAACCACGATCATGCCTTTGCAGGCTTGCCTTGCGTAGTCGGGAATAAACACTATACTATATATATATATATATATATATATATATATATATATTTCACCCACCACACAGGCTCTACTCATCTATATTAGCAACAGTAAAACATTCCAAACACGCCCTCTTTATTCTACCAAATTCGTCTCGCATGTTTTCGGTCGCACTATATCTATTTCCTATTTTCAGTCTATTTTCTAACTTTTCCGGATATTCCCGGCTTGTGGAATGGACATGACTCTCGACTCCCACTGACTTAGCCTCCAAGTTTACGCGGATCTTTACTCATTGTACTTCTACCTTGTCGTAAAACCTATTCTGAGTAATATTCTAACCAAACCGATTAAATCAACTTTCTGCTGTGGATATGTTTTCGTTTTCCAGATAAAGACATTCTGATTGGAGGAAGTAACATTTGAGACCAGCGAGAATTTTGAAACGGTGCGTTTTCGTGACATAGTATCCGCTGCACATCGAATGTTACTTTCTAACGTTCAACTTCCGTTAGTGTTACAATGAAGCAATGCATTTTAATTATAACCTAATTTATGGCTTTTTGGACCGTTTTACGTCATTTTCCCTAAGTCAATTGTTCTCACTTCCGTTCCACATTTTGCAAAGTCTTACCGCACTATTAAATTTATATTGTAACGTTTATTCGTATCGCGTTGGACGAAGGTCGTAACGCACCCCCATCTGCTGATGAAACATGGGAATAAACCACCTTTGATAACACCGGGGCTGATCCATCCCTTTTTCGTGATTACAAAAGTATGAACGTGGATCCCATAGCAACAGCTTTGCAAAAGCCTATTGCCCTTGAAAATCAGGTATGCTTGCTGAAAAAGGAAAGCAAATATATTACGGCCTTACTAAAAACGTTATGCTTTTGGTCAACTGCATAAATTCCAAAAGCTGGGCAACCAGTCTAATATACTTTATTTGGTGACAGATTGTGTAACATTACGCACTACGTCAATGAAAGCAGACATCGTGCTGACAACGTTACTTTTTAACAGAATCGACGTAATGCCACTTAGCAAATTGCCGCATACCCTACTAAATGCTTGTGGGGTATCATTGATTGTTGTCTAGTCAGGCAGCTACACAAGATTCCTGAACGACCTTACTCCATCACTTCTTGGGTCATCAAATTTAGCAGCCACAAGCTGCTGACAGGATTCTTTGACATCGAGTGTAATTTGAGTTAGCCATCTAAACTGCAGCAACTTTTAGTAAAGCGCACAAAACCCCGTGGTAATGATCAACCTCGTTTCCTGGTTTAACTTCTATTAAAGAAAAGGTGTTTGCGACAACTTTCAGAGTCGCAACTAACCAATACGCCTGTGCTCTTTGACATAGACATGGATTGATTACATCAACAAACTGACCGCACGATGATAGGGCCCTATAAAAACAACGAACGGTCAAAAGTATCACTGTCAATTCCGTGTAATTTGCTGAGACTTCGAATTGTGTCGTAGATATGACCGAATGCCACGCGCGGTCTGCTAAGTTGTTCTGCATGTACGACACAGATGCTGAACTTGAAAACATGGGTTCTTATCACCCGGTACTCTATTGGCCAGTGTTGGTAAATGTCTCACTTAACTACCTACGGATGCGACGCCAGCGACCGGAAACTCACATTCACGGTATGTGACCACTGCGACTGCTCGGGCGCCATTAAACCCATGTGAAAAAGCAAAGGAACGGTGTCAAGGTGTTCCAATTTGGCTAAAGCGGACTTACTTTTAGTACCAGACTTACCACACTTCCAGATATCTCAGTCATGAAAAACAAGAATTTCGCTTCACCGTTACTTGTCACAGTCAATTAGAGCCACTGTCAAGTATGAAAGCCTCATCGTAGGAACTACTTACTCAAAATCCCAAACGCAATGATGTACATCCAGACAACAAACAAACGTCACGTCGTTACCGGCCAAACTGCAAAAGTTGCATAAACAAAGCCCAGATTGACACACCAACCAGAAATATTTCACACAGTTCTCAACTCCACACCTAACCTTACCCTACCGAAACATCATTTGTCAGCCACACACCCTCATGCCGCAAAGCATGCTGACGTCTATCGTAAACACTATTCAGGAGACCCCGCAATTTGTGGGCTTTTCCAAGTCCGCTTAGACCAAATGCCAGCCAACTAACACCCAAACCAATTTCTGGACTTCATGTAATTAACGCCGAGCAAAGAAGCCCAGCTTTCTGGACAACACCTCTTTGCTGAATCACAAAGTCAATCTAAACGCACCTAATCGCCTAGCTACCATATGTACGCAGTCACTTTCAAAGTACTTACACTTGGACATAAGGCTTCATAAAACAACCCTTTATTTTCCCATAGCTTCTGTTGGTCCACTGAACGCACAGTTCAAGTTTTACGCGCAAACAGGTCCCTCCCCTTACGTCGAAACGACTGGTGTGATGTTGGACGACTTTAAATACCACAATAAAATACAAAACAGCTTTTTAGCAAGAGAGAGCTTCATGTTTGTTAGCTACCAACTGCCCAACAGCGCACACAAGCTAGGTTTTCCCAGCATGACTGAGCTTCACAATATGCTCTTTTATTAATGCCTGGTCTGTTAAACACTAGGTGCACTTCTTGAGTCTGCTCTTTACTCCGGCTATTTTGGGTACAGATAATTGGCACTGCCAGTTCTTCCGATAAAACACCCTAAATCCCTGCTTACACCTCATTCTGCAGTAGACGTGATAAACGCCCAGGCAAAGAATGCTGATATACATCTGGTATATTGCATGCGTCTTCCGTCCCAGCAACATCAGTGGGTTACCCGGGGACTCTATGAGTTTATGCTGATGACCGAAAATTCAAGCTCAACATCTGCGTCTATATTTGATTACATGTTTCATTCTCTGAAATCAACGCACTAACCAATATCGTAACCGATTATACACTATTACCTACAAGACACAAGATAATCGGTGGGTGCTTTAAAATACTAAAAACTGAGTGGTGTACTCAGGCAGCACCACCCAAATTTAGGGCTATTGTCGATCACACTTTTGCACATGAATGGACCAAAGAGGTTTACTCACCTGATAAGAACACTAAGCTCCTAGACTTAATATTCATGAAATGCACGTACAATGCACAAGGTTGTTAGCTTGAGTGTTTTCCATGCAATAATCACAAAGTAGTAGGGCTATCGTTCAGCCAGACCACCAACGAGCACTTGTAGCAGTCTGGAGATTCCCCGGTTTGCCTGTGTAAAATTCTAACCAAAGTTCTTTAATTGTACACCTTGGCAACCGGTGTGGTTTGTTTAACTGCTT